AGCTGTTTCAGCCTGGTAAAGGCTCCACTTAACCCCCCCCCCCTCCCCGAGTGCGTTTTTTGAAACCCTCTGTGATCAGATTGTGAGCCACTCTGTGTGTTTATCCGTTCGTCTGTTACAGTGAAGATCGCCCTTAATTCTCCTGGTTTCCAGACCCTCCAGACGATGATCGCGGCCTGAATCGCCTTCCAAGCCTCCGCCTGGTACAGCTCTCCCTGCACTTTATGTTAAAGATAGCGCCTGAAAGCTATTGCTTTTGTGTAAAGAGACTTTCAATGGGCCGCCAGTGCCGCAGAGGCCGGGCCGTATGGGGAGAACGCATCCTCTCTAGAACCCGTTACCGTGAATATCAAGAAGCATTAGCAGGAAGGTTCCGGACACTCCTGTGCCTGAAGAGCCCATGTTCCCAGAGAGACGGCCACACATGGCTCCTTATGATGGCAATTAGCTGCCGCTTTAATTATCTCTCTGGGCTGACGACTGGTGACAGACCCATACTTTGCATTTTGCTTAATTAAAATATAGCACGGGGTAATTAGAGCAGCCCGGCAGTCCAGCGGGGCTCGGGAAAGCCTGATGCTGAAGCTACACGGCCAATTCAGATACATCTACGCTAGAACAGCCTCTGGAAGACAGGCCTCCTGCAGGTAGGCCTGCCAGTGCTGTGACTTTCCTGAAAAAAATGGTTGTATCAGAGGGGCACACACCCTCGGTAGGTAAACAACTATTTTCTGGCTTATAATTAGTGTCTAATTAGTCATATGTCTGGGTTGATTATCCAGCCACTGCTAAAGATGAGGTGCTTAGAGAGACACCTTGAGGATGACTGATGAAATGCGGCTGGTCGGCCCAATAATGACTCGGCCAAGGTCTCTGCAGGGGAAGGGTTAGGAGACACACTGCAAGCTGCACGCTTTTCTGCTCCTTTTGAAACACACGATTCAAAAATCGGCTGAATGTCCCTTAATGCATTTTGAAAAGACCATCCTACGACAAGTCTAGCAAAACGAACAGAAACCCGACTAACAGCCAGGAACATTGTGGAGACATTGAACACAAGCTTTGAATCCTGTAAAGGACTCTGTAGATTGACTGTAGATTGACTGAGTGACTGTTGGCCAAATCTCCGTGGGACTTGCGTACAGAATGAAATGCTTGTGTATGGATGTTTTTCATCGGGTTATTGGTCAGGAAGGTGTATTATTTTGTGTATTGTGAAATCGGTGTGTTACAGGGTGTTACAGTAAGGCATAACTACCATGTAGACTCGATGTGTGTTTTTGGGAACGTGGAGAGGTGAGAGTCGATTGAGTTGGCAGGGTTACCGGCAGGTTCCGGCTGGTGACAGACCAATTAAAGTGGCATTTCTGACTGGGTGGCCTGGCGTGTAGCACCACTGCACTGACACGATGAAGACGCAGGAGGACAGTCGCTCGCCGACAGCTGCTGGTGCTGACAGTGCAGCACTGGAAAGCTTCACCCTCTTCTGGGTACTTTCCCAGGAGAAGTGGCTGGGGCCAGGCAGTGATCCAGAGGTGCCTCTTTACCGGCCCGAAGGCGCCTTTCAGGCTGCGGGCTCCTCACCTCTCACTGCTGCTCTTCAGGCAGCTGGTGCATCTCCACCTGCTCCTGCTTTCTGCTGGGTGTGCTGACGATCCTGTGGTCAGGAGGTCACTCCTCGCGGTTTCCGGAAGGAACCACCGGATGGACACATGTGGTCCGTGTGCGGTTCCAGAAGAGCAGTGCCTTCCCGAGGTCGGAATCGTGTTTCAGGAGGATGTCAGGGTTTAAAAAAAAAATATTTTTAGAAAGCTGCATTGACTATCACTTAATAAGGAATCAATCATTTTTTATATAAAAGGCAGAGATCAATATCTAATTGCTGCAATCATATTTATAAAGTACAGAGTAATAGTTTATTACTGCAATCATATTTATAAGGCACGGAGTAATATTACTACAGTTATATTTGCAAGACACAGAGTAATATCTTATTACTACAACCATACTAATGACATTTGTATTCTGCTCACACCATAAAATCACAATGCTAGTGGGGCCTATGAGGGTGTGGCCCCACCTTGTACTACCAGGCAGGTGCTCCAGCCCTCCCCCCCCCGCCCCCGTGTGACTGCCCACAGCTAACGATCCTGCACCGGGAGCGAGGGTGTTAATGGCGCAGTAGCCGCGAGCACACGATGCCGGCAAGTTCAGCAGCACGGTGGTCGTCTGACCATGGCACGCGGGGATGCGTGCAGGGCCCCGCGGAGACGGCAGCGCAGAGACGGCACAGCGGGTGGCGATAGAGTCACAAGAGGACGGGGTGCGATCAGCAGTGAGAAGAACGGGGGGCGGGGGGGGGGGGGGGGGGGGGGGGACTTATGAAATCCATGTGTTACAAATCCTGCTCATTTCTGTGGCTATTGTGATGAACGGCCAACGGGAGCTGGAGGATCTGGGAGACTTCGGGAAGCGTGAGATTCCCAAGGCTGAAGGGCAAATGCCCAGTGAGGTGATGACTGCTGAGCCACCTCGGGGCAGGTTCGGCGGAGAGGCGGACGGACGGATCGCGTGTCCAGTGGAACGCCTCTGCGCTTCACGCGCTCTCAGCGGCGCCGCACAGGCTGCCAGCGAACGTCAGCTTGGACCCGAGCCGCTTCTGTACTGTTCACACCGTCCCCTGAGCGAGAGAACCGGGGGGTGGGGAGTCTGTATCTTACGGCAGAGGAGCGAACGCTTAACAAAGAGAACAAATCAATTTCATCTTCCCTCCTCCAAATCGAATCGACCCGCCACCACCGGTAAGAAAGGTAGAACATTTTAATCACAAATAATTATCATAATCATACATTACTGCCAAGACAAGCATACGGTGAGTATTATGTAAACTGCAGAATAAACACAGTTAATGCAATATTGCATATTTTATGAGTTAAAGTAGTGAATACCAACTCCAAAATGCGAGGAAAATATCATTTTATATAAATACTTGTTGCCCTAGATGGTTGTGTAAGCGCCTTGTGAGTAAAGAGCGTCGGCTGGGGAGGGAGGGTCCCTCTTGTGACATCCCCCCCAGGCCATGGACGCCAGGCGGGTATGGGGGCCTCTTGCCTGATCCTGGAGGTGCCCTCCGCCTGAGAGCCTGGCCCCACACCCTCCACATCCAGCGAGGTGGACCTGTGTCACAGACATTCCCAAGCCAGATCTGCAGATCTCTCAGCCGCTGTATGGTTTTCTTCTACATTAATGTAGCAAGCATGTACATCCAAAGTGATGAGCATTTTTGAGGAAGCAGGGTCAGTCACACAGTCCCTGGAGCAAATGGGGGTTAAGGGCCTCGCTCAAGGGCCCAAGGATGACATCACTCTGCTGACTCTGGGATTTGAACCAGCGACCTTCTGGTCAGAGGCTCAGTGCCCTGACCTGCTCAGCCACGCCCCCCATTTTTGCTGCCGTTTGAGGCTTATGTTACTGTAACAATGAAGCTCCTCTTCAGTATTGTCCCAGCTAAGCATTTTAACCTTTGGCTCCCCTGGCTGAATACGGCGATTCCCAGCCCCTTTGAATGCTGGGATTTTTGGTGAGACTTACTCCTTGGTGCTAATCTTTGGCGCAGCACAGTGATGGCCTCACTATGTTAATTTTAGACACTTTTCTGGCAGATAAGGCCAGGATATAAAAGTGGCCCTTCATGCCCATGTGCCCCTCCTCGCTAACCGTGCTCTCTGACTCCCCCTTTTGACCCCGTGTCAGTACTGCAGCTCAGTTCAGACAGTAACAGGGGCTTTGTAAAACTATGTCCAGAATAAAATCCCAAAGGTTTATACTATGCTGGAGGTTCAGATTTACAGATTAATTTCACCCTGTAAGTTGGATAGTAATGGGGGGGGATGTTTTACTGTCCTATTCATATTTACATCACCATTTATATCAAATCAGCTTTGGTGGAAGACTCCCATACAATAACACACTATGTAGTCTCTGCCTATGCATCATAAGCATTATAATATATAAAATATCATACTATGTTTTCTGATTGCAATACCACATAAGATCAAATATTAAAACTCAGAATGGCAATAATAAATCTGTATTTTACAACACTATGAGTAATAAGTGCTCCTACGACCAAATGCATTGTGTTTGTTCTGGCTGGTATCCACATTGTGTCAGATGTAACAAAGCACATTTCTGCTAAGATAGCTAGACAAATGTGTGGTTTTTAAATGGTGTATATGCTGTGTGCTTGGCCAGAGATTCATCCCCGGAAATTGCTGGAATCGTAACATTTGCTCAGTTTGCAGCACAGACGATCCTCAGGTGTTGCAAGAGCAGATGGGTGCAAAAGCAGGACAGGAGTATATTTCCAAGACTGCAGGCAGCCTTGGTTTTATTTGTTTTATTTGCCTGCTGCTTAAACACGTCCGTCTGCTCATCTGAGAACGGCGACTGGCCATTGGATGATTCCCGCCATCCCGTTTAGAAAAGAAAAACATCTTCTGGGAAGAATACAGATAAATGCCATCTTCGATTCCCCACCCAGCTGAGAGTGTCTTCCAGAAGGTGGACACTCTAACAATACAGTGTGCACTCTGATATAATATTCATGCCAAAGTTTCCACTGTCAGCTGCAGAACACGGCTTCCGATTTTTGGCTGATTTAAAAATATGTGGAGAGAACATTCAAATGGAGCAGATTTGAGTTATCGGTTAATGTCCTCTATTTTTGGTACCTTTGCGCTCCACTCCTTGCCAAGTGTGCATCAGATCCATTCACGTGAGGCTGACAGTCTTTGGGGCTGGAAATAGCATCTCAAAAAGGCACTCGAAGATACACGAGGAAGGTCCCACAGACCGCGTTTGGTCACC